CTCTTTCAAAGGAGGCACGATTTGTGTGGGGTATTCCCCGCACACTGTAAATCATTACTAACGCCAGATAGATTACTAAGTTTGTTTCCGAATATGCTTTTGGATAGCCTAATAGATGCAGAGCCTGTTTAGTTCACTGATTTGAATTTTTAATTTGAGTTGAGATGTGACTTTATGTGAGAGTTTTTTACTGTAGTAAAAAAAAATTAGATGTCACTGTTTTTGAGAGCTTTTTACCTTGACAAAACTCAAATCCGTGAAATGAACGAGACCGTAGTCAACATAAAATTACTATTGTCATTTCATTATTTTCAAAATTGTTTTTTACGGGATTCTCCTCATGCTTTTTTAGAACAAGAGAGTGGTGATTTTCTGCAAGATCAAAGACTTCTTAGTGGTTGTATGTGAGGAACATAGCCTCTTTTTTTTTTTTTTTTTTTTTTTTTTCTTGAACAAATAAGTTATTTTATACTTTAACAATCCTAGTATTTTTTATAATGTTTTTTGTTGAATTGTAGTCATCTCTTTTTTTTTTTTTTTTCCATGAACACTTTTTTTTTTTAATTCTCATTAAACTTATAGTCTTTCTCTCTCTCTTTTTTTCCCTCTTATTTAGTGAACTCGACCTATATTTTGTGGGGGCTATTGAATCAGATGATGAACATGGAGTAAATGACATCTTTGTACTATCTTCTGGCAACTTATATTTTAGAATTGCTTAAAATAAATATTTTTTTTGTTACTATACTTTTACAAAGTGATTGTTAAATAAAATAGATGCGATGTTAATTTTTTATAAATGTTACTTATAGAGTGATACTTCATGAGGGGCTAAAGCTTAAGCCTTTGTTTATATATGTCTCTCTGTGTGTAAAGAAACTGTTGGGATGAAAAATATATAAAGTGACATCAGGTCTCAATATGAACTATAAAATAAACAACTTTTAATGATTAATTCATAATCGTATTCTTTTAGTTATCGAATCGAAAAGCAAAACTAAAGAATAGGAAAACGCTTATTCACTATAATGTATTAATTAAGTTTGCACAAATATAGTCATTGATTATGTCCACCACTGCAAAAATGAAAAAAAAAAAAAAAAAAAGTTTTTAGACACGTTCAAGAATTTGCTATATATATATATATATATTGTGTAGTTTTCCATAATATAAATATCATATGACTTCACTTCAACTTCCTGATAAACAAAGTACCATAAATACAAGATGATTAAAAAAAATAAAGATCTTATATTTATATAAACGATATAAAAGTACAAAATCCTAGTTTGACATATGTTTTGAAGGCTTTAGACACATTCTCTGAACCATTTAATTGGCAAAAAATTGGTCAATTGATATAATTGTGGCAATCACACCCCCATTGATATAATTGTGGCGAAAAATTGGTCCATAGAGTTGTTATTCAATTTCTTTTAACTCGTTGAAAAATACTTTGGGAAGAGAGTAGTAAAATGGATATTAAGACATCTTAGAGGCACTTTCAGGATGTCTTTATGCTTTGAAAATGTTGAGTCTACTTTAGATGGGTACACATATTTAGATAAAGGAAATGAGATTAATTTAAGAAATTCTAATTCTGGGTTACTTAATGAATTTTGTGCAAGGAGCGGTCTTCTTGATAGTTCGAGTTTCAAAGCCTCCAGTTTTATCTAGAGAGAACTTTATAAACCCTTTTGTTGGTGATATAATGGAAGTTGAAATCAAATACAATCTTATGGTTTTTCTCTTCGCATTAGAAAGTTTTCTGTGTTAAAAAATACAAGGTCCTAGTTGTGGTTGAATTATTTTATTATTATTTTGCTTTGGTTGTCTGGCTTTGTTTGAATTCTCTTTAAAATCCCATTTTAGTCAACAAAAATAGGATAGATTTCTAGTTAAGTAATTGGTAGTTTTTCTGAACACTAATAGCAGAGATAGAGCACACAGTAGCAGTAAGCTTGCAAAGGATGATTTTTAATATTCTCAACAATATTTTACTTTTAAATCTTAATTTCATATATAAACAATTTTGTACGTAAACAACTATTTTTGACAACTTAAATAGTACCTTTATCCTTTAAGGATTGTCATCATCTTGTTAACTCTATACCTCATGACTAAGAAAGTCATCATTTAAATGGTAAAAACCTACATTTAACCGGAGAAGACATAAACTTAAATATGAATCCGAAATCTAGAAATACAATATAGAAAACATCTAAAATGCATTGTATATACTTATAACAAACTTAAAGTCTTAAAAAAGAAAAAGAAAAAAAGACTAAGAGAGGAAAAACTAACTTCATGCATTCTTCATATTTTGCATGCTCACAAATCTCTAAGTGCTTGGGACTAGTCACTACAATGTCTATGTTTCTTGAATTCCTCCATGATTCTTTTCTACAAATTAGTCTAGCCCATAATATGTTCCTTGAGCTATTCGTTGTGTCAATTTATCATGAGCATCAAAGTTTGTTGTTAGTGGAGGTTGAGGAGAATGATGATGATTTGGAGTTGGAATGTATTAGTTTACCAATCCATCCTAAAAGCTTAAGCTGTTAAGCTGTTAGGAGGTGGGTCAATAGTATGTAACGCCCTCCGGAATTAAACTTGTTTAATTATGGTAATTGTGGTTTATTAGTGTGCCTAAATTGATTTCTTAATTAATCATGAACTTTTAAATTTATTCTTAGTATTTACAATTTCACCCCTATTTATTTTATTTATTTTTCCTTAATATTTTTCCTAATTTTCTTTTCCTTCTATTTCTCCTTTTCCTTTTTCCTTATTTCTTTTTTTTTCCTTTCCCTTCCTCACGTTACTCTCCCTCTCTCTCTCTCTCTGTCTCGAAACTCTCTCTCTTT